TGATTATGATGAGAGATATTCATCGCTGATGGATATAATTAAATTTTGTTTTCTAATTAGCTTAGTAGTCTTTGAAAGACTGTAAATCTAAGACGACATATCTATATGGCTCATTAGACTCTGATATTTATTTGAAAATTCTTAAGGGCTTCAAAATGCCTGATGCATGCATTCCCCACAACTTATTCTAAATGAAGTTGCAAATCTTTGTACGATTTAAAGTAATCAGGTCACAAGTGATATCAACGTAGGTGATTACCTAATTAAGGAAGGGTTTGATAAGAATGATCCTATCTGTTAATGTGTGTTTATTAAGAAATTAGAAATTGAATTTGCTTTTATAGCAATCTATATCGACGATATAAATTTAATTGGAACTCCATAAAAGTTATAAACAACTGAGTATTTGAAAAAAAAAAAGTTTGTAGTTAAAGATCTGGGTAAGACCAAACTTTGCCTTGGTCTAGAACTTTAGCATAAAGAAATTGAAATTATTGTCCATCGATAAGCATATATAGAAAGATTACTTGAATGCTTTGCCGTGGATAAGGTTCATCCATTACCTACCCCTATGGTTGTAAGGTCTCTAGATCCCCTAAAGGATACATTTTGTCCTAAAGAATCTAATGAAAAGATACTTGGTCCTGAAGTATCATATCTCAATGCAATTTGCATTTTGATGTTCTTGGCACAAAGTACGAGATATGATGTCACTTTTGCAGTAAATTTATTAGCACATTTTAGTTTTGAACCAACTCAGAGACATTAGAATAGTATAAAACATAATTTTCATTATCTTTGAGGAACCACAGATTTAGGATTATATTATTCCAAAGATTCCATTACTTTTGCTTTAGTTAGATATGTTGATTCTGGATATAAATCTGATCCACATAAAGCTTGTTCTTAAACGACTTGTTTATTTTGCTATAACACTACTAAAAAAATAAGGATTAGGGACAAACAAATTCAATCTCCTAAAGAGCACAATTTCATCCCTAAATTATTTAGGGACGGAAAAAATTCTATCTCTAAAAGGCTCTTCGCTAATGATTTGGGATGGAAATAAAATTCCTTCCCTATTTTTGACAGAATAAGTCCATCCCTAATATGTATTTTTTCGTCCTTATTCTTGTCAACAAAAATGATTAGATGGAAGGTAAAATCTGTCCCTATTCTTTCATCCCTATTAGGGACGAAATTAATTCATCCCTATTAAGGACAAAATGTGTTTATCTCTAATAGGGATAGACAAATTTCGTCCCTAATTTTAATTTTTTCATAAATTGTTCAATAAAAATACTTATTTATTTTTTAAAAAATAATTTACACCTTATAGTCATAATCCAATATAAATAATCAAAGTCACATAATCAATGCAAGCTAGTCTAAACCTTATATTAATTATGATCATATAAATCATCATAGTTATAACCGTATAAGTTGGGAAGAAGCCTTATTGATCAAAAGTATTATAGAAAAAACAAATAACAAATGTATCAAGTAACAATATCAACTAACAAGTATTGTTCACAAAGTGTGTATATATATATATATATATATATATATATATATATATATATATATATATATATATATATATATATATATATAGGGACAGGATATTCTTACACCAGTGTAAGAGTTAGAAGTCTTACACTCAATCTTGATCATTGATCCATTTGTATCCAATGGCTCACATTACTAAAAAAATTGAGTCATTAGATATAAGTGGGATCAGCGGACAAGATTGAGAGTGTAACTTACAATGGTGTAAAATGATCCTGACCCATATATATATGTGTGTTTGTGTGTGTCAGGATCATTTTACACCAGTGTAAGTTACACTCTCAATCTTGTCCGTAGATCCCACTTATATCTAAGGGCTCTAATTTTTTAGTAATGTGAGCCATTTAATACAAGTGGATCAATGATCAAGATTGAGTGTAAGACTTCTAACTCTTACACCGGTGTAAGAATATCCTGTCTATATATATATATATATATATATATATATAAAAGAACACAAAATGTCTATCAATTATCCTAGTACAAACGGGCATCACATTCATTATCGTCGACTCTATACTCGTTATGTGCCTCACATGTAGGAGGTATGGTAATGGACATGGAGAATGAGCCTCACATCACCAATAAATTTTTCATAATAGTCTCCTCCGTCTGCAACTCTTAATTACTGGTGGATATGTAGGTGACTAGCTCTCTAATACAATCATAGTCATGTGTAGAGACTCCTTCAGACGAGTTAGCAAACATATATGAGACTTTATATTTAGTTCAATAGCACTTATCTTTTCAACTAGCTACATTACTAGGTGCGCAAACCAAAACCTAAAATTAAGTTGGTGAGGGAAGGAAATGAGAGAAGTGAATAAATAGAAGCAAGAGAGAAAAACAAATGATAACTAGAAAAAAAATTAAGAACATACCTATCCCTGGCCTTGTTTGGCCATTTGATATACAAAGGCTGCAGAGGTTACATGCTTATCAGTTCCAGGTGGTCCTTGAATCAAACTAATAGGCCTCTGAAGAATGCTCTTGACAGCAAACAACAACAAACATAGGAGATCGGTGAATGGAGGGAAGGGAAGGAACCATGTCGGATAATGGAGGGTAAGGGAAAGTTTAAGGGTATCTTTCCTCTTGCTTTAGAGGGGAAGGAAATTAGGATTTTCACTTAACCCTCTGAAATCCCCCACAACTTATTTTTCAAATTTCCCCCAATTAGGACTATAACAGGAAAAGACAAATCAATATCAAACATATATACTAGCAAGAAATTCATATAACAATAGTGAGATATAAGATCAGAAAAAATAACATCATACTCATGATGCATTCAGCTCTAGAAGCTCAGATGCACCAAAGCGACGAGGCAATGCATAACGCACCATCTGAACCTCAACTTCATGACCCAATAAGTGATGATAAATAAACCAGCATATTAAACAGCAATTGTAAAATTTGCAAGTAAACAAAAAGGTGAATCATAATTTCCATCACAATTATATCTTTTGTTTTTAGATTGCATAATTAGTTAAAACTAAGATAATCATGTCACAGTGCTATTTATTCCCTTACACTACATATACTCCAGTATTATTTCAACCTCACAATTGAATCCAAACATTCACATGACATGAAAAGATAAATATAGTATATACCGCCCCATTACCAAACCATTCCTAATTACACTCTAATTAATAGCAACTTATAGAACTACAGCCATGTCCTTGCCAACTTAAATAAGCATTTTTAATGAAGATTACTATGTTGAGCGTCGCAATATTCAAATCCTGCGAAAAAAACAAACGAAGGAAAAAATATATAACAATATACAAGGAAAAAGAGGCAATATAAGGCATCCACACAAATGCAAATACACCTGACCTAGGACCAGTGGCGGAGCCCGCCAAAAATTTAGGTGGTACCAGAAAATTTGACATATTAAATTATTAAAATATTTATCATAATTATATAAATTTATCAGGAAAAAAATTTTCTATGAATTCTAGCATAGTTATCTAAATTATGTACTAAAAAATATCACATAACATTGAAAATTCAAATGAACAATTATCATTGATTATATATCAAATCAAATATATAAAAATGCACTAACCTATTAGGTAAGTATTTCAAACATAAGAATTTCACTTTCCTCCCACAACATAATAAATAATGAACCAAACATTGTCCTAAGGATATGAAAACACACAAATATAATAATTATTAAGCATTGTCCTTCATTTCCTCTTTCATTATCTCCATTCCTTAAATTTTCAATATCTCTCGTTAGAGAACATCGCCCTTGTTTTCAACAGCTATAAGCACGAAGGAAAGTTCTCTCATTTGGAAATTAGGTTTTTGACTATTCTTTGTGTTTTCAATAACCCAAAACACAATAGTTTAATGGACCTTCATTTTCTATAACTATAGACTTGTTATTCATTTGGTTTCATGATTGTTACTTTCAAAGGTTAAGTGTGTATCCTTTTAAAGGACACAAATTGTATCCTTTTAGTTTTTAACACTATGTCTTACAAGTAAGACATAGTTATAACATAAAAAACTATTTTCATGAAAAATTATTTTTTTTCTCTCTACACGTCAATTGAAGTGACTGAGGAAAGAGAGAAAAAATAATTTTTCATATTATAACTATGTCTTACCAGTAAGATATAGTGTCAAACCCTTTTCTCTACTTTTAAGGGGTTTAGTTGAGTCCAAATTTTGAAATAGGTAAAATAATCATTTTTTTGATTAAATTTAGAAGTATTTCTTTTTTAAAATAATAGGAATAAGAATAAATAACATAACTAATTAGAATAAAGCAAAAAAAAATACAAATATACAAGATAAAAAATAAAAGAAGGTCAAACACAAAAATAACATATTGTACACATTCTTTATATTTGTTTGCATTTAGATAGTTTTTTGTTACTTTATATTAAGCATTTGATTTTCAATTTAAATAATGTCAAATTATAATTTTAACCACTACAGGAAAAATGTGTTTTAGCGGCGGTTTATTTTAAACATAGCGGCGGTTTGAACCGCTGCTAAAATTTTCTGTGGCTTTTTAAAAACTGACGTAGAAATTGACGACGTTAAAAATTTCAGAGTCGGTTTCACACAACCGACGGAATAACCGACGTTATATTTGCATAACCGACATTAATTTAAAATAATTTAATAAAATTGTATTTTTACAGCGGCGGTTTTGAACCGCCGCGAATCTGCAATGCTGGTTTTTTAGGATAATTGCTGCTGTTTTTTGTATTTGCTGCTGCTGCTTTTTTTTTTTTGAAAAATTATTTGCTGTTGTTTTATCTTGTAATTATTTATACCATTACAAAAAACATATTAATTGATCAAACATTTAAACCTCTGAATCTATAATCATTAAATTTATACATAATTAAATGTAATTCAAAATAAATACAAATAGTGATAACAAATTAAAAATTTCTCACCATTAAAAATTAATAGATCCAAATACATGATAAAACAAAGTAAATGTGCTTTGCAAATTTAACATAAATGGAACCAAAGTATCAATAATACCACAAATGTTTACATCTGAGTAATCTTGCAAATTAAACCTAACTGGAATCAAAGTACCAATAAAAATTCAAAAATTTAAACCTAAGCAACTTTTTATGCTTGATGAGTTGTAGAATGTAAAGAAGGTTGATCACGATGATTGAACTCCGTTGCCTACATTAAAAATAAATGAATAACATTTTTAGTAAATGCATTAAAAAATTATATGATGTTGGATAATTAGAAGCATAGTTATTATGTATAGTACATTTGCTATATATTATTATATGAAGTTGGATAAACGCATAATATGCACCTTTCAAGTGCACGTGATTTATATTGCAAATTACAGTGCGTATTACTAAAACTAGTATGCCAAATCAATATTTCAACTTTCAATGACCACATAGAATCCATATTTCAACTCCAATATTGAATAATAGGCAATTAAGACCGAAAGCGAACAATCATACCAAAGATCACGATGACCAAAAAGTCCAAAATGTTAGCATATACTTCATATATATAATAGCTGCAGGAACAATATTGTTAAGTTCTAAGTATAATAAGAGGTGTACTTGTGTAAATTTGTGTACATCTTATATTATAATAACAATAACAAAAAAAAAGCACATATGGGTTTATCTTATATTATATTCACTAACTAATTAGAATAAAATACCATATCATTTATGTCACAATATTTATGTAAAATATCAACTAGAAGAATAATATCTGGTCCTGATGATTATCCAACAATCAGTTCTCTCTTAATATATGATCTTAATACCTACAAGTAATATGCAGGTTAAGGGAACATTTTGTCAAAGTATCCATTAAAAATATGTTTAACTTTTAATACAATTCAAACTCATATCAAACTTTAACTCTGTGACAATCAATCCCATATTCATTTCCAACCCCCAGCAGAACCAATTATGTTTCTAGAAAATTTCGTAGTTATTAGGTCTAAGAAAAAAGAGCAGTCAGCAAACAACATATGAAATGTGTTCCTAATCTTTATACAGAGAATATTTTTAGTGGAGTTTAAGTTTACTTTTTATCCCCATGCCACCAAATTACTATAAAAATATAATTTGAATCAATTTGCAGTTTTCATGTTTAGAAGTTCAAATACACAAAAAATAAACTTTAATATGCTTTCAATGGAAGTCACCAAGTAATATCACCAATTAAAAGTTGCATTTTTTTAGTTAATTAAAATTTAGTTATTAAATATTAATTAAAATGATGATTGATTCATTCTATTTAATTTAGTTAATAACTTGTTTAATTCATTTTTTTTAATTTTAATATGCATTTAATTATCACCAGTTTAATACGTTACAGCAGAAATGCTCTCTAACTGATATCACCATCATTCTTACATAAGCTGATCCAATACGGCGCTCCAATAACACCAACTGTTTGTCCCTTGAGCAAGTTCCCAACAAATCTGCCAGAGAAACAAAACTAAAGCAGTTATTCCAGCCTTCAGAAGAGTATGTTACTCACAATTCAGTATATGAAGAAGACAAACAAAGAAGAACTTTCATAATATTTAAATTACTCTTGACAGAAAGAAACAAGAAAGGAATTTGTAATAGTTTCCATACAGATGTGGTAGCCATCCATCATATAATCCTGCCCTCGTGAACTCATCTGCTTCAACTATCCTTCTAGCAGCTGCCAAAGACAGTGAAGCTGCCAGCTCTGCTGTTGTCTCTGTGAGCACTCCCTACCAAATGAGGAATGAAACTAATGTTAAAATAAATACTTCCTCCTCAAGGCTATCACTTTTTCTCATAAAACACACACAACACAACTAAAACCCTTCTTCCAAGCATGAATGTTAACTCTACAAAATATATATATTTCTGCTTTTGCTGCAGAAAATATTTCTCAGCCACATTCACATAAAAATAATTTTCTCTTTATATAACGATGTCCCTCCCGATGGAGAAATTTACGGAAATGAATATTTAGATTAATGTTATTATTTACTAACAGCCTTCGGCTGAATTTTCTTAGGCGTGCAAAATCCTGGAAACAATTAGAAGAGTTCAGAAATTTATTCTTTATTGTGCATATTTTAGTTTTCAATTACAATATCCATCGTTGTTATGTCATACTCATTCCAATTCTTAAAAGAATAATTTTTAATATTAAGAGTGATTAAAATCAAGCAAATAAGATGCAAATAATCATTCCTCATAATTTGTGTAATAGCTTCCATTGGGCGCATTTGGAATCAGACTGATAGAGAATTTATCCTACTGATGGTGCCATCACTGCCAATCATTGAAGTAATTGGAAACATTTCCCAGTATAACATTAAGGAAACAGAGTGTGAGAGAGTAAAATGATATGCTTAAATTCTTAATCACACAAAACTGACCTTTGCATCAGGTGCTGGCATAGTGTCTTCGGCACCCCAAGGTACATTGTGAAGCCAGATAGAAATAAAGGGTCCATTTATAACTCTCCAATTCAGATTTTCCAAGTTTATTTCAGGTCCTTTATAACAAAGCTTTTGTAAATTAACACTTTCTCCGTCACTTGGATCAGTGTTGTTGCCTTTGCTAGTAGATTTGCCAGGGTAACTAGTGGGTTCCCTGTAAGCCTCAAACCCAGATGCAGGCACAAAAGAAACACATCCAATGTATTGCCTCAAATTGAAGAATCGACAAAGAGCCTAAAGCAGGAAAGCAGCGAATAAAGAAAACAATAGTGAGTAAATTCAATCACTTATCTGTTGAACTAATTGCAGTAAAAGTTTATCAATGCAATTCAAAACTGCATCACAGGCAAAGTTAGAAAAGCATAGTTATGATATATCTAATACTCGAGTTCCCCACTAAAGGGTCATTTATATTACAATAACAAATAGAGGTCAGAATCACCCTTCAAAACAGAACTGAACAAAACGAGGGCTTTAACTATATAAGTCAGAAATCTTCTAAAACTAAGTGTTTTACAACAAAGCCATGATGTATTTCTCTCTCTTTTTTTTATATTTTGGATCTGCTCATCAGAGACGTATACAGAAAACAATGGTTACCCTAAAAACATCTAACTAAATAGATGGAAACTGCAGGAGGCTGAAAAAAAAACCAAGGGGCATTAAAAAATAATTTAAAGTAATAAAGTTTAATGAGATGAAGCCATAATAAAATAAAAATAAAAAAAGTAATAAACCTGCGGGAACTACCCCAAGGGGCATCTTTATTGCCGTAACCCAATCCTCTCTTTGAAGAAGTCCATTTACAACCTACTAAAATGTGTGATGCTTGTAAGATGAGGAAAAACAATAAATAAACAGAGACAACGATGTCAAAAGTGAGCCAGTGCAAAAGTAATCTAGAATACAGCGGTTACATTGCAAAACTTATAAGAGACTGACATTGCTATTTGACTGCCCACATATATTATATATAACTTCCATTCAGACCTTCAGGGCTTCGGTGGTAGCCTTTAACCTCATCTCCAAAGACCATTAAGTTTCTACAAAATAACTGAATTGAGGTATTGAATAAATATTTTTCAATTAATCCATGAGCATGTCCAATAAACCAGTACTACATTAGCATATCTTGGAAGGACACCTTAAAGGTGTACAATTAGTAAACTAGAATCTTGTTAATTCATACATATAAGGTCACCTCAACCCCGTTCTTTCTTTCTCTCTTTTCTAACAAGACTAGAAAAAACCATCTGCGAAATGCAAATTGCAAGTATAGGATGGAACAGAGAATTAATTATTTCTCAGCGCAACAAAATATTTTGCATTATAAACATGAAGGGTATTAAAAAAAGTGTAATGTGATCAATTATTATTTGTTAAATCCAACAAATATGACAAATATAAAAAATATAAAAAATATAACAAATACAACTAAGGCATGCACCCTTGACTACAGACAATATGTTAAATCCCAAACGAAAAAGAAAAAAATTGTCAATGGAATTGATGAAATTCAAATGGACCGATAACGTTTCAATTCCATAACAGCCAGCGACGATGAACTCTGCAATGTCCAATAAACCCTAACAAGCCTAAATCAAATAGGTTCAAAACGGAATCGAGAAGGAAATGAGAAAAAAATAGGCTCTGAAACAGTAATGTTGTTTCCATTATCTCAAGGCAATAAAAAATATAGAATATGGAATGCAGAGGGGGCAAGATTTGTTCATCCCGATGATGAAGAGTGAACCTGCGATCAAACCTTAAAATAAGAACCACAAGCTTCTGCAATTAAGAGCGGCAAGTCGAACATTGATTGGGAGAGGATCTTGGAGCGTTTCGAGTTCCAAGGTTAAAAGGTGAAGCAAATAATTAGGTCTAGGGTTAGGAAAATTGGCAGAGAGAAAGCACAAACAGAAGGATGAGGCATTAATTTTTGGTGATAGTTTGGAATGTAAAGGGAAGCATTGAGGGAATGAAGTGAGAAGGGAAGCATTTTAGAGGAGCGTTGTTGGGATGCTTGGAAGAGAAAAGAAGAGAGAGATGTTTCTCGTGACGGAGAAGGGAAAAAATGAGAGCGGCGTTGTTTAGGAACTATTGGATCAGCGTTTAAAATCAGCGGCTTTAACACCAACCGCCTCCAGCAAACCGCCCTTGGATACCAAATTTCCTGTAGTGAACCTTAATTAATTAATTTTATGTAATATATATAATAAGTAAAAAAAAATTAAAACAAGCTGGTGCCTTGGCACCTGCTGGCATATGTGTGGCTACGCCACTGCCTAGGACCAACTTACCCATTCACACTTGTCTCATCCACAACAAAGGCTTTCATAGCTCCTTGCATCCTATCAATCTTCCAGACAAAATCAACACTGAAACCATGGTTAACATCAACTGGAACCCCCATGTACACAACAAAGGCAATAAGCATTACACGTAGATAAAGAGCTTGATATCACAATACAAGTATAGCAAACTAATGCTAAATTTACCTGACTAGCTCGAAGTTGCAGTAGAACCTCCTCTTGTGCAGTTAGCTTAATCTGAAAATAGGATATAAAGCATCTTACATAGCACATTATTGAACAAACTTGATGAAAAGAACTAAAACTAACTAATTGCGTACATTAATAAAATCATATACATTATTCCATACTAATTGTATAACACACAATAAGTTAACAATAAAGATAAGTGGATCTCAAATTGAGATAGCAACATCACATATATGATACCCAAAAAAAAAATATAGAAGATGAACGGAACACAGAAAATAATAAGGGCTTTTCCTAATTAGAGAAGATCCAAAGGTATAAGTACCGATAAAAAAAATAAGTAGCTAATGATAGTATGTTTTACAATGAAGTAAAGAAAAAATATTCCTTATCATAATCAGCTTCAAGCTTAATTAGAGGAGAAAATACATTTTGATACAGAGAAAATATGGAAAACAAGAAACATAATAAATAAGACCAAGTAAAAACCAAGAAACTAGTGACATGCCAGACATATTACAAAAGTAAAACATTAACAAAGCCATCTAGAACACACATGATATGCATCTTCGTATTTCAAAGCTGAGATTCATCATCTACACCAGGCTTTTCAAGGTCCTCAAAAGAAGCATCGGGATTTGTCTTTTACAACTCTTCCACTTAGTTTATTTGCTGTGCACTTATTTGGCATGCCCTTAACTGCTCCTGTTCAGATGGGATCTGCAGAAGTCAACAATATTGTAATATAGATGGGCAACATTGAGATAGGAATAGAGAAAATTTGGGAAAGAAATTGGGAATTTGGGAAAGAGGGCAGGGGCCTAAAAATTTTAAAGGAGGGAGAGCTATAGATTGTGAAAAATTAGAGAAGTGGGAAAAAAATTTGGGAAAAGAGAAATTGTAATTTTTTTTTTATGAAACAAAAGGAATATTCAAAGTAGAGGGGTAAATAAAAAATTTTCCAAAAATTTTATGTAAAAATCTCCTCTAGCTTTCGCATCTCTTTAGTTTAGTAATCTGCTTCGGATCGATCAATGCATAGAGTATGAAATTAATTTAATTATATTTTTAAATTAAAATATTCAATGATTTTTTTACTTTCTTATTAATACTTTAAAATGAAGAAAAATAATTATTAGTGTAATAGTACTACAATTTCTTAGTTTTCCACCAAGCAATTGCTTATAGCGACATCTTCCAACCACTTTAAGATTATGATACGGTTAGTGACAGGCCAAAGAGATTGAAGAGTGCCCCCATTTGGGCCTCAGACTTCTATGCATAGTCTGTATAGTAATGGGCCAATGTTGTGGGCCTTGTAGAATCTGTAGGATGAAATCATAGTTAGTTACAATTGTAACAGTATATACTTAGCTGATTGTAACTGAGATATTCATTGAATAATAAATCGGTTCTTTCCCTGTTACTTCTTCCTCTTTCTTAGAGCCACGCTCTATCATTGGTGCTTTCACTGGCTTCTCCGAGAACTTCCACCATGCGGGTGCAAGATCTTGCAGAAGAGTTTGGGGCTTTCCAAGCGCGTATGGAGCAAAGGTTAGATGACAATCAAGTGCAAATCGCTGCTTTCAACAATCAATTGCAACCGATTCATGCGATTTTGTTGGGATTGGAAGGTCGTGTTCGTGACCCAGGGTTGCCGAAGGATCAATCTCCTTCTTCGAGTGAGCCACGCATACAGAAGGATCCACATTCGTCAGATACACCTGAGGATTTGACCAACAACAATGGGAAAGGAATTGTTAGGGTTGACCACAACGACCCACGCTCCTTCTTCAAATTTGTTCGCATGGAGTTTCCGGCATTTCACGGCGTGGACCCGCGGGGGTGGATCTTTAAAACAGAGATGTTATATGATCTGCAACATGTACCGGAAGAGTATAAGGTTCGGTTGGCAGGACTCAAAATGGAAGGGGCTGCCTCACCGGGGTATCAGTGGCTTTACAAAGGAGGATCCTTGAAGTCCTGGACGGACTTTAAGACTGCCTTGTGTCAACGATTCGGTGCTGAATCTTACATGGACCTCAAAGGGGTTCTTTCTAAACTTACACAAACAGGGGCGTTGCAGGAATATATTCGGGACTTTGAAGCATTAATCAATCAGGTGACCGAATTTTCAGATGAGGTTCTTGCTAGTTTTTTTATTTCTGGATTGCATGCTGATTTGAGGCGTGCTATTCAATTTAATAACCCCACTTCTCTGCATCAAGCCATGCAACTGGCAATGGCATATGAGGCTCACCATCTGGAGCTTCGCACTTCGTTTTCTGCAACTCCTAAGCCGTTCTCTGCACGACCGACGGTGGGGGATACTAAATTGCTTCCATCACCTTCAGGGGTTCCAGCCAAGCCCATAAATTCTGTACCAGCATTACCTGCTTCCAATCTTCCTCAGATGAAGAAGATGTCCCATGAATATCTTCAAAAACGAAGAGAGTTGGGTTTGTGCTATCACTGTAATGAGAAGTGGAATATGCGTCATAAGTGCCAAGGGAAAATGTTACTGTTGATTGGGGAGGAGGACGATTTGGAGGATCAACCAGGGGAGCAAATTGTTTGGCAACCAGAAACCAAGAATGTGGAGATGATTGATGCAGCTTTACACTCAATGGTGGGGGATGCCAATCCAAGGGCCCTGCGATTTTCTATTACATTCAAAGGCACAACAATTCCTGTTTTGATTGATTCAGGTAGCTTTCACAACTTTATCAATAGGGAGTTAGCTGAAAATTGTGGTTTATCCATGTCCAGAACAAATAGAATGAGAGTGTACTTGGGAAATGGAGAGTTTTTGCTGTCTGACAGGAAATGTTTGGATGTTAAACTCATGATTCAAGGTCACCAGTTTACGGTTGACTTATGGGTGGTTGATCTTCATGACCTGGGAATAATTCTGGGTATTATGTGGCTGGCCAGGTTGGGTAGGGTGATACATGATTATAGTAGGTTGACAATGGAGTTTGAGTGGTGCGATAAGTTGGTTGTGTTAAAGGGGGATTCTGTTCCAAATCAACATCCGAATTTGATGTTTCATTTGGGAAAATAGCAACAGCAAAATTCAGAAGTGGAAGTGATGAAACAAAAGGTGTGCCCAGAATTGTGGGAGGTTTTAGTTGCTTTTGAGGCAGTCTTCAAGATTCCTCATAAGCTGCCTCCATTTAGAGGCTGCAATCACTCAATTCATTTGGAAGATGGTGCTAAATCAGTATCAGTCCGACCATACAGGTATGCCTACCATCAGAAGACAGAAATTGAGAAACAGGTGGCTGAGCTATTATCTTCAGGTTACATTCGCGAAAGCAGAAGTCCATTCTCTTCTCCAGTGCTGCTAGTCAAGAAGCAAGGTGGCACTTGGCGCATGTGCATTGACTATAGGCAGCTCAACCACATTACAGTAAAAGATCGCTTTCCAATTCCTACCATCGATGAATTGTTGGATGAATTGCATGGGGCTAGGGTGTTCACAAAGCTGGATTTACGTAGTGGTTACCATCAAATCCGGATGAGTCCAGATGATATATTCAAGACAGCCTTTCGGACCCATGAGGGTCACTACGAGTTTTTGGTTATACCATTCGGCTTAACTAATGCACCTTCTACATTCCAAGCTGTCATGAATCACATGTTCAAGGCTTACCTTCGCAAATTTGTGATTGTATTCTTTGATGACATCCTTGTGTACAGTGCATCTATGAAGGATCATGTTGTTCATTTGAGGATTGCACTACAGTGTCTTCTGCAGAATGAGTTTTATGTAAAGATGAGTAAGTGTGCCTTTGGTGTTTCTGAAATAGAGTATTTGGGCCACTTAGTTTCGGGTGCTGGGGTTAAGGCGGATCCAAGAAAAATTTCTGCCATGCTTCAATGGCCAGTTCCCAAAACATTGAAACAGCTAAGGGGATTCTTGGGCCTAACAGGATATTATAGACGTTTTGTTAAGCAATATGCCACCTTGGCTACTCCATTGACGGATCTCCTCAAATGTGACTCATTTCAATGGTCACCTGAGATGGAAGATGCTTTTTTAGCCTTGAAGAGCGCTATGTCCGAGACACCTGTACTCCGGCTTCCAGATTTTTCCTTGCCATTTGTAATCGAATCTGATGCATCTAATTTTGGAGTTGGAGCCGTGTTATTGCAAGAGGGGAAACCCATAGCTTATTTCAGTAAAAAGCTTAACCAGAAAATGCAAGTGGCATCAACTTATGTAAGAGAATTGTTTGCTGTTACCGAGGCTGTCAAACGATGGCGGCATTATTTGTTAGGTTCAAAATTTGTCATTAAACGGATCATAGGAGCCTCAAGGAATTATTGACACAAACTATTTCCACTCCAGAACAGCAAAAATATGTGTGTAAGCTTTTGGGGTTTGATTTTGTCATTGAGTACAAAAGTGGGGCTTCCAACACTGTTGCAGATGCTTTATCCCGATGCCTTGAAGAGGATGCTGCTGCCTCATTGCTTTGTTTGATTTCTGCTCCTACCTATGCAATTGTGGATCAGATTCGGGCTGAGAATTCCACAGATCCTTATTTGTTAGAGCTGCATCAGAAAAATAGTGATAACAGTTGTTTAGATCACTTAATTACAAGAAAAGATGGGTTGTTGTTTCACAAGGGCAGGTATTTGTTGAGCCCCACATCTGTTTTGAGGCAAATGGTCATGACTGAGGCTCATTCTTCACCTTTGGGGGGCCATGCTGGAGTTACAAGAACCTTGCTTAGACTTCTTGCTTCATTCTATTGGGAGCACATGCGTAAGGATGTGACCTTGTTTGTGAAGGAATGTCACATTTGCCAATGTATTAAAACTTCTACTGCTCCTCCCTTAGGCCTCTTACAACCACTACCCATTCCTGAGGGAGTCTTTGAGGATCTTACTCTTGATTTTATTACTGGATTACCGGTTTCTGCAGGTTTTTCTACCATATTGGTGGTTGTGGACCGTCTAACCAAGTATGGTCATTTTGGGGCCTTAGCAGGTAACTATTCAGCTATTACAGTTGCCAAACTTTTTTGTGACATTGTGGTTAAGTTACATGGCTTCCCAAAGTCATTGGTGTCTGATAGGGATAGGATCTTCATGAGTCAATTCTGGTCTTCTCTCTTTAAGCTGAGTGGTACAGTTCTTAAGATGAGCTCAGCCTATCATCCCCAAACGGATGGGCAAACGGAGGTCACTAACCGTTATTTGGAGCAATATATTATAGCTTTTTGTCATGATCAAAATAACAGATGGTCCTTTTATCTGGGATGGGCTGAATTGCATTACAACACAGCTCATCATTCTTCAATTGGGATGTCCCTATTTCAAGCACTATATGGTAAGCAACCCACTCTACTTCCTTCATATCAGCAAGGATCCATACGTGTAGCAGCTGTAGATACCCTACTCACTCAAAGACAGGAGCTGATTACTAGTTTAAAACACCATTTAAAATCGGCTCAAAACAGGATGAAAATGACAGCAGACAAGCATAGGAAGGACAAAGAATTTATGGTTGGGGATTTGGTGCTGCTTAAGCTGCAACCCTATCGACAAATATCATTGGCTCGGAGAACAAATCAAAAGCTGGCCAAGAGGTACTTTGGTCCCTTTCCTGTCAAGAGAGTGTTAAGCAAGGTTGCCTATCAGTTAGAGCTACCTCCACATTCACGTATTCACCCTTCTTTCCATGTATCTGTATTAAAACCATACCATGGCAATTCTAATGTATCAGTAGCTGAGTTACCCTCTGATTGTCATGACAATCAACCTACTCAAAAGCCATTAGCTGTCATCA